AAAAGTAGCTGGGCATTGTGGCGGGTGCCTATAATCTCAGCTGCTTGGGAGGCTGAGGCAAGAGAATCGCTTAAGCCCAAGAGTTTGAGGTAGCTGTGAGCTATGATGCCATGGCATGCTACCTAGGGCAACAAAGTGAGATTGTCTCAAAAAATAATAATAATAATACAATTAAAAAATAAATAAATAAAACCCAAATATATAAACTACAAAAGAAAAGGATTGACAATATTGAATCTATTCCAACTGAAAATGAAAAAGTTCTGTTTACACAAGTCCCCATTTAAAAAAAAAAAAAAGATAAACCACTGACCTAGAGAGGATGCTGGCAGCATATGTCATTGACAAAGAATTAGCAACTAGAATTTTGGATCTTAATAATTAAGATTTGTCAAAAGACATGACTAAGAATCTAAAAAGGCAAGCCATAGGATAAGTCAGATGGCTTTTTTCCTTTTTTTTAAATTTCTTGTTGGGGATTCATTGAGGGTACAAGAAACCAGGTTTCACTGATTGCATTTTTTAGGTAAAGTCCCTCTTACATTCATGTCTTGCCCCAAAAGGTGTGACACACACAGAGACCCCACCCCCTCCCTCTGTCACTCTCTCTGCTAATCCCTTCCCCACTCCTCCCTCCTTCTTCCTCTCTCTGCTCACCCGCCCCCTTGTCATTAATTGTCCTCATATCAAAATTGAGTACATAGGATTCATGCTTCATTCTTGTGGTGCTTTACAAAGAATAATGTGTTCCACTTCTGTCCATGTTAGTACAAAGGCTGTAAAGTCTTCAATTTTTTTAATGCCTGAATAGTATTCCATGGTATACATATACCACAGCTTGTTAATCCATTCCTGGGTTGGGGGGAATTTAGGCTCTTTCCACCTTTTGGTGATTGTAAATTGAGCTGCAATAAACAGTCTAGTGCAAGTGTCCTTATGATAAAAGGATTTTTTTTCTTCTGGGTAAATGCCCAGTAACAGGATTGCAGGATCAAATGGGAGTTTGCTTGATCCTGCAAGCTAGAACTCAAACTCTAGCTTGAGTTCTTTGAGGGTTCTCCATACTTCCTTCCAAAAAGGTTGTATTAATTTGCAGTCCCATCAACAGTATAAAAGTGTTCCTTTCTCTCCACACCCATCCCAATATCTGAAGTTCTGAGATTTTGTGATATGGGCCATTCTCACTGAGGTTAGAGGATATAGTCTTGATTTGCATTTCTCTAATAATTAAGGACTCTGAGCATTTTTTCATATGCTTGTTAGCCATAAGTCTGTCTTCCTTAGAGAAGTTTCTATTCATCTCTCTTGCCCATTGATATATGGGATTGTTGGCTTTTTTCACGTGGATTAATTTGCTCTATAGATCCTTGTTATCAAGCTTTTGTCTGATTCAAAGTATGCAAATATCCTTTCCCATTGTGTAGGTTTGCTTTGGTTGTTGTCTCCTTAGCTGTACAGAAGCTTTTCAGTTTCATTGAGTCCCATTTGTTTATTTTTCATGTCGTTGAGATTGCCATGGCAGTCTTCTTCATAAAGTCTTTCCCCAGGCCTACATCATCCAGTGTTTTTCCTATGCTTTCTTTGAGGATTTTTATCATTTCATGCCTTAAATTTAAGTCTTTTGTACATCTTGAATCAATTTTTGTGAGTGGAGAAAAGTGCAGGTCCAGTCTCAGTCTTTTACATGTGGATAATCAGTTCTCCCATCACCATTTACTGAATAGGGAGTCTTTCCCCCAGTGTCTGTTCCTGTTTGATTTATTGAAGATTAGGTGGCTGTAAGATGTTAGTTTCATTTTCTGGTTTTCTCATTGATTCCAAATGTCTATGTCTGTATTTTTGTGCCGGTACCATGCTATCTTGACCACTGTGGCCTTGTAGTACAGCTGAAAGTCTGCTATGCTGATGCCCCTGGCTTTGTTTTTATTACTAAGAACTGCCTTAGCTATACTGGATTTTTCCTGGTTCCATACAAAATGAAGAATTATTTTTTCCAAGTCTTAAAAGTATGATGTTGGTATTTTAATACGGATGGCATTGAAATGGTATATTGCTTTGGGAAGTATAGACATTTTAACAATGTTGATTCTTCCCAACCATGAGAACAGCATGTTTTTCCATTTGTTAATATTTTCTGCTATTTCTTTTCTTAGGGTTTATAGAGGTCTTTCATCTTTTTTGTTAGTATTTAATTTTCTTTCAAGCTATGGTGAAGGAAGTTGTGTCCTTAATTAGCCTCTTGGTTCAAGACCAGCCTGAGCAAGAATAAGACCCTGTCTCTACTAAAAAGTAGAGAGCCTGAGACAAGAGGATGCTTGAGCCCAAGAGTTTAAGGTTGCTGTGAACTATGCTGATGCCGTGGCACTCTACCCAGGATAACAGATGGAAAGGGGGAACCTGTGACTGAACTCAGCTGGCACTCCTGTTGGCAGCTCCTCTACCAGGCGGTAGCCACAATCCTGGCCCACGCAGGCTTTGAATGTGCTAATGAAAGTGTCCTGGAGACCCTAACTGATGTGGCGCATGAGTATTGCCTTAAGTTCACCAAGTTGCTGAGATTTGCTGTGGATCAGGAGGCCCCGCTGGGACAGACTCCTTTCCCTGATGTTATGGAGCAGGTATTCCATGAAGTGGGTATTGGCAGTGTGCTCTCCCTCCAGAAGTTCTGGCAGCACCGCATCAAGGACTATCACAGTTACATGCTACAGATTAGTAAGCAGCTTTCTGAAGAATATGAAAGGATTGTCAATCCTGAGAAAGCCACAGAGGACACTAAACCTGTGAAGATAAAGGAGGAACCTGTGAGTGACATCACCTTTCCTGTCAGTGAAGAACTGGAGGCTGACCTTGCTTCTGGGGACCAGTCACTACCCATGGGAGTCCTTGGGGTTCAGAGTGAGCGCTTTCCATCTAACCTGGAGGTTGAAGCTTCACCACAGGCTTCAAGTAAGAGAAATAAACTTACTCTGATTCTGGAACATCTGCTGAACTCCATACTTTTTGCTTTTTGGAATCAAATTCTGGAGGTGCAGAGGTAAATGCTTCTCCTCTTTGGAATCTGGCCCACGTGAAAATGGAGCCTCAAGAGAGTGAAGAAGGCAATGTCTCTGGGCATGGTGTGCTGGGCAGTGATGTCTTCGAGGAGCCCATGTCAGGCATGAGTGAAGCTGGGATCCCTCAGAGCCCTGATGAGTCAGACAGCAGCTATGGTTCTCACTCCACTGATAGCCTCATGGGGTCGTCACCTGTTTTCAACCAGTGCTGCAAGAAGAGGATGAGGAAGATATAAAAAGAAAAAAAGAACATTTCCTATCTAGAACTACTACAGAAAACCTTGATGTATTAGAATTTGTTTCCATAAGCAGTGATTTAATTCTTATTCCTCATACAGGGGGCTTTCCTAATTTCAAAGGAACTGGATTTAACTAAACAAGGTTGCATTTTACTTTTGCAGCCAATTTTTATAATTTTTCACAACAACCAAGCCACTGTTCACAGGTGAAATATGCTGGTGTAGTAATCAGAAGACCAAAGGACCATCCCTGACTATTGTCTTTTCTGTGACTAAACGTGTTCCTTAGCTTCTCTATAGCCATTTCTCTTGCACACCAGAGAAGAATCATACCTCTTTGACCTCTGTTATAGAGATGAGAAGATTGAAGTGTTTGTTGTACTTCAAAACTGTATTTGAAAAGACAAGTAAATATATGCATATATGCCAATAAAAAAAAATTAGCCTCTCATCTTGGCTGTTAATGGCGTATACAAAGGTTACTGGCTTATAAACATTGATTTTATATTCTGAGACATTACTGTATTTTTTGATGACTTTCAGGAGTTTTGTGGTTGAGTCTTTGGAGTTCTCTAAGTATAAGATCATATCATGAGCAAAGAGAGAGAGTTTGACTTCTTCTACTCCCATTTGGATGCCCTTTCTTTCCTTCTCTTGCTGGATTATATTGGCTAGAACTTCCAGTACTATGTTGAATAGTACTGGCAACAGAGGACAGCCTTTTCTGGTTCCCATTCTAAATGGAAAAGCTTTCAGTTTTACTCCATTCAGTAAAACATTAGCTGTGGGTTTGTCATAGATCGCTTCAATCAGTTTAAGAAATGTGCCACCTATGCCTATACTCTTCAGTGTTCTAAGTAGAAAAAGATGCTGAATTTTATCAAACGCTTTTTCTGTATCTATCGAGAGGATTATATGGTCTTTGTTTTTGCTTCTGTTGATATGGCGAATAATGTTTATGGACTTGCATATATTAAACCAGCCTTGCACCCCGATATGAAACCTACTTGATCATGATGTATGACTTTTGTGATGATAAGCTGTAATCTATTGGCTAGGATTTTGTTGAGAATTTTTTCATATATATTCATTAGTGAAATCAGTCTGAAGTTCTCCTTTATAGTTGAGTCTTTTATGCTTTGGGTATCAGGGTGATGTTTGCTTCATAGAACATGTTGGGAAGATTCCTTTCTCCTCAATTTTTTGGAATAATTTCTGCAGTATGGGAATAAACTCTTCTTTGAAGGTTTGATAGAATTCTGCTGTGAAGCTATCTGGACCAGGGCATTTTTTTGTTGGGAGATTTTTTATTGTTTCCTTGATCTCAGTGCACGAAATTGGTCTGTTCAGGAGATCTATTTCTTCCTGGCTTAGTCTAGGGAGAAGGTGTGATTCCAAATATTGATCCGTTTCTTTCACATTGTCAAATTTCTGGGCATAGAGCGTCTCATAGTATTCAGAGATAATCTCTTGTATCTCTGTTGCAGGCAGAATGGGGACTGAAGATCACATCCTTGGCAGGGGAAGGCACCCTCAGAGAAAGGAAAAATTAAAAAGTAAGCTGAAAGAGTTGGAACAAAGAAAAGTCAGCTATTTTACCTTACCTAGCCCTTGCTAAATTTCTTAACTGAACAAGCTTCTGGCCCTTCCCAAAACTCTGGCCTACTGGGAATACAGTTTACACCAATACCCTGTTGAGTCTGTGAACACTCTGAGGAAGTAAATGGTCATAAAAGAGGTTATGACAGGACCTGGAATAGATACAATTTCTAGGTCTTTTCCTGCCCATTAAACAGACAAAACAGATACTCGTTGTGGAGATTTGCATTTGGCTGGGGGCTCGAACCCTGAGTTATGGGTAGGAAAGCTTAACACCCCTTATCGCAAAGGAAAATGCCTTTCTCCCACCAATTCCTCAGAAGAGATTAACACCAGTGGTGTTTTACTCCACAGTGAACTAGCAGAGTTTAACACCTCCATAGGAATCTGTGTGTGTGACTTCAGACAAGAGGCTTCCCCCACAGAAGGCTCAAGTTTCAGATGCTCCAAAACTGTTCAAATCCTTAAAGTTAATAATAACAATAGAAACTGATCACTCACTCAAAGAAACTACTGGCGTCTTTGTTACCTCCCTCAGCTTACCACCTGGGCAGATAGATTTCAATAAAAGTTGTGTAGAACAAAGACTCACCAGAGCCCACGAACAGGCGAATAGACGGAGATCCCCTGAGCTCCTACCTTTGAAAATTCTATTCTGTGTCTCACGTCTTTTTCTTTATCATTGTTCCTAAATTTATATTTCTTCAACCAGCCACACCAGTTCCACAGGTCTTAGCGGACCCTGCCCACAGGGCAGGACACAACACTCTGTGGCATCAGTTGTTATTCCCCTTTATCATTTCTGATTGAAGTTACTAGAGATTTTACTTTTCTATTTCTAGTTAGTCTGGCCAAAGGTTTATCTATTTTATTTATTTTTTAAAAAACCAACTCCTTGTTTCATTAATTTTCTGAATGATTCTTTTGTTTTCAATTTCATTAATCTCTGATTTAATTTGGGATATTTCTTTTCTTCTGCTGGGTTTAGGCTTAGATTGTTCTTCTTTTTCCAGTTCCATAATATGGCTTGTGAGTTTGTTGATACGCTCTCTTTCTGTTTTTTGGGTGTAGGCACTTAAAGGAATACATTCTCCCTTCAGGATTGTATTTGCTATATCCCATAGGTTTTGGTAGCATGTGTCTTCATTGTTGTTGTGCTCAAGGAAGTTAATAATTTCCTCTTTTATTTCTTCCTGCACCCAACTATCATTCAGCATAAGGTTATTTAATTTCCATGCCTTTGTGTAGGGTTGAACGTTTTTGTTGGAATTGATTTCCACCTTTAATGCCTTGTGGTCTGAGAAGATACAAGGTAAAATTTCAATTCTTTTGATTCTTAGGAGGTTTGCTTTGTGTCCTAGTATATAATCCATTTTGGAGACTGTTTCAAGGCCCAATGAGAAGAATGTATATTCTTTAGCTTTGGGATGGAGCATTCTATATACTTCTATCAAGCACAGTTATTCTAGGGTCTCATTTAAGTACTTTGTATCTTTGTTTAATTTCTGTTTAGAGGATCTTTCCAGCTCTGTAAGAGAGGTGTTAAATTCCCTGTTATTATGGTGCTATAGGATGTCATATTGCTCAGAATTAAGGACTGTTTCAAGAATCTGGGAGCATTTAATTTGGGTGCATAAATATTTAGAATTGAAATGTCTTCTTGTTGTATTTTTCCTTTGACCAAGATAAAGCATCCATATTTGTCTTTTTTGACTTCAGTTGCTTTAAATCCACTTGTATCTGAAAATAAGATTGCAACGCCTCTTTTCTTTTGAATTCCATTTGCCTGAAAAATTGTCTTCGAACTCTTAACTCTGAGTTTTAATTTGTCTTTTTAGGCTAGGTTTGTTTCCTGCAGACAGCAAAGGGAAGGCTTGTGTTTTTTAATCCAATCAGCCAATCTATGCCTCTTCAGTGGGGAATTCAAGCCATTAACATTTATTGAGATAATTGATAAGTGTTGTAGCATTCTATTCATCTTATTTTGTGAAAGTCCATTGCTTAGTTTTATCTTTTGCATCATTGTGGAAGCTAGGTTTTTCCCTTTAATTTCTGGGTGCTTACTTTGCTGATGGTCCATTGTGATGATTAGTGTGTTGAATAGGTTGAAGTATTTCCCGTGGAGCTGGTCTTTTGTGGCAAATTTCTTCAATGTTTGCATATCAGTAAAATATTTGATTTCTCCATCATTTTAAAAGCTTAGCTTAGCAGGATATAGAATTCTGGGCTGGAAATTGTTTTGCTTAAGTAGATTAAAGGTAGATGAACATTGTCTTCTGGCTTGAAAATTTTCATTAGAGAAGTCTGCAGTCACCCTGATGGATTTCCCCCTGTAGGTTAACTGGTGCTTATTCCTGGCAGCTTGCAGAATCTTTTCTTTTGTCTTAAATTTGGGCAGGTTTATCACAGTGTATCTTGGAGAAGCTCTATTTGAGTTGAGATGACCTGGGATCCGATATCCCTCTGAAGGGATTGTGATAGCATCTTTGGTGATATTTGGGAAATTTTCATTTATAATATTATAATATTATCTAGCATCCATTCTTCTGGGGCATTCTTCTTCCCCTTCTGGGATACCTATAACTCATATGTTTGAATGCTTCATGAAGTCCCATAATTCTGTCAGTGAATGTTTTGCTTTTTTTCTCTTTTTTCTGCCTCTTTAACTGTCTGAATTATCTCAAGAGCTTTGTCCTCTACTTCTGAGATTCTTTCTTCTGCATGCTCTAATCTGTTATTGATACTTTCTATTGCATCTTTAAGTTCCCTAATTGACTGCCCCAATTCTTCAGCTCTGCTATATCCTTTCTGTATTCTTTATATCCTTTATTTCTTATTTGATTCTGTTTTTGGATTTCCTTTTGTCTATTTTTCACTTTCTCAGCAATTTCCTTCACTGTTTTCATCATTTGTATTTTAAATTCCTATTCTGTCATTTCTAACATTTCTTTATAGGTGGAGTCATCTGCAGTAGCTACCTCATGGTCCCTTGGGGGCATTGTTCTTAACTATGTTTTCATGTTGCCAGGATTTTTCTGCTGATTCTTCCTCATGAGTGTTATCTTTTATCTGTTTCCTTGCCCTAATGCCCTAATTTTCCTTTCACTTCCTCTTGCTCTTTAAGTTACTGTGCCTCTGACCTAAGGTTTTGATGAGTTCTTTTGGTATAGGTCTAAAAGGATGAGAAGATTGAAAAGCAAGAAGGGAAAAATGACTTAAAAAAGGAAAATGAGAAAGGAGAGTGGGTGAGTAAAAGGGAATATTGACAAAAAGAAGAGAGGTACAGAAATAAGGAGACAGGAATAATAAAGGTATACAGTACAGTACTTTGACCCACACCTTAAAACACCCCTTCCTCTGGGGATGCTCGATTGGGTATTTCCCTTGAGGTCAGCAGCTCTTTGCCAGCCTGAGCAGACACGGTACCCCACCTCCATCATATAGAGAGGAAAAAAATACTATAAATCAAAATAAAAGAAACAGAAAATATTACAGGATAAAATTGAGGGGGAAACCAAATAACAGGGGCAGAAACACTAGCAAAAATGAAGTTCTTATTATTAAAGAGGGCAACAATGGAAAATTATATTTACAGTAGAAAAATGAAGAAAGAAAGAAAAGAAAAATCTAGGGGAAAAAGGTTGAAATTAAAAAAAAAAAACAAGAACAAAGTAATATATATATATGTCTGAATATTGTCTGGGCAACAGGTGATCTTCTAGGGTATGAGATGCTAATCACAAAGCTCATACAGCTGAATATGATGGAGACTGGAAGCCTGGGCTGACTTCTTTGCCCTCAGACCATGCAGGGTTGAAAGACCGAA